AGTTGCACAGCAGCTGCGCCTTCACTCACAGTTGCACAGCAGCTGCGCCTTCACTTACAGTTGCACAGCACCTGCGCCTTGACTCACAGTTGCACAGCAGCTGCGCCTTGACTCACAGTTGCACAGCAGCTGCGCCTTCACTCACAGTTGCACAGCAGCTGCGCCTTGACTCACAGTTGCACAGCAGCTGCGCCTTCACTCACAGTTGCACAGCAGCTGCGCCTTGACTCACAGTTGCACAGCAGCTGCGCCTTCACTCACAGTTGCACAGCAGCTGCGCCTTGACTCACAGTTGCACAGCAGCTGCGCCTTCACTCACAGTTGCACAGCAGCTGCGCCTTCACTTACAGTTGCACAGCACCTGCGCCTTGACTCACAGTTGCACAGCAGCTGCGCCTTGACTCACAGTTGCACAGCAGCTGCGCCTTCACTCACAGTTGCACAGCAGCTGCGCCTTGACTCACAGTTGCACAGCAGCTGCGCCTTCACTCACAGTTGCACAGCAGCTGCGCCTTCACTTACAGTTGCACAGCACCTGCGCCTTGACTCACAGTTGCACAGCAGCTGCGCCTTGACTCACAGTTGCACAGCAGCTGCGCCTTGACTCACAGTTGCACAGCAGCTGCGCCTTCACTCACAGTTGCACAGCAGCTGCGCCTTCACTCACAGTTGCACAGCAGCTGCGCCTTCACTCACAGTTGCACAGCAGCTGCGCCTTCACTCACAGTTGCACAGCAGCTGCGCCTTGACTCACAGTTGCACAGCAGCTGCGCCTTGACTCACAGTTGCACAGCAGCTGCGCCTTGACTCACAGTTGCACAGCAGCTGCGCCTTGACTCACAGTTGCACAGCAGCTGCGCCTTGACTCACGGTTGCACAGCAGCTGCGCCTTGACTCACAGTTGCACAGCAGCTGCGCCTTCACTCACAGTTGCACAGCACCTGCGCCTTCACTCACAGGTGCACAGCAGCTGCGCCTTCACTCACAGTTGCACAGCAGCTGCGCCTTGACTCACAGTTGCACAGCAGCTGCGCCTTCACTCACAGTTGCACAGCAGCTGCGCCTTCACTTACAGTTGCACAGCACCTGCGCCTTGACTCACAGTTGCACAGCAGCTGCGCCTTGACTCACAGTTGCACAGCAGCTGCGCCTTGACTCACAGTTGCACAGCAGCTGCGCCTTCACTCACAGTTGCACAGCACCTGCGCCTTCACTCACAGTTGCACAGCAGCTGCGCCTTCACTCACAGTTGCACAGCAGCTGCGCCTTCACTCACAGTTGCACAGCAGCTGCGCCTTCACTCACAGTTGCACAGCAGCTGCGCCTTCACTTACAGTTGCACAGCACCTGCGCCTTGACTCACAGTTGCACAGCAGCTGCGCCTTGACTCACAGTTGCACAGCAGCTGCGCCTTGACTCACAGTTGCACAGCAGCTGCGCCTTCACTCACAGTTGCACAGCAGCTGCGCCTTCACTCACAGTTGCACAGCACCTGCGCCTTCACTCACAGTTGCACAGCAGCTGCGCCTTCACTCACAGTTGCACAGCAGCTGCGCCTTCACTCACAGTTGCACAGCAGCTGCGCCTTCACTTACAGTTGCACAGCACCTGCGCCTTGACTCACAGTTGCACAGCAGCTGCGCCTTGACTCACAGTTGCACAGCAGCTGCGCCTTGACTCACAGTTGCACAGCAGCTGCGCCTTCACTCACAGTTGCACAGCAGCTGCGCCTTCACTCACAGTTGCACAGCACCTGCGCCTTCACTCACAGTTGCACAGCAGCTGCGCCTTCACTCACAGTTGCACAGCAGCTGCGCCTTCACTTACAGTTGCACAGCACCTGCGCCTTGACTCACAGTTGCACAGCAGCTGCGCCTTGACTCACAGTTGCACAGCAGCTGCGCCTTGACTCACAGTTGCACAGCAGCTGCGCCTTCACTCACAGTTGCACAGCACCTGCGCCTTCACTCACAGTTGCACAGCAGCTGCGCCTTCACTCACAGTTGCACAGCAGCTGCGCCTTCACTCACAGTTGCACAGCAGCTGCGCCTTCACTCACAGTTGCACAGCAGCTGCGCCTTCACTTACAGTTGCACAGCACCTGCGCCTTGACTCACAGTTGCACAGCAGCTGCGCCTTGACTCACAGTTGCACAGCAGCTGCGCCTTGACTCACAGTTGCACAGCAGCTGCGCCTTCACTCACAGTTGCACAGCAGCTGCGCCTTCACTCACAGTTGCACAGCACCTGCGCCTTCACTCACAGTTGCACAGCAGCTGCGCCTTCACTCACAGTTGCACAGCAGCTGCGCCTTCACTCACAGTTGCACAGCAGCTGCGCCTTCACTTACAGTTGCACAGCACCTGCGCCTTGACTCACAGTTGCACAGCAGCTGCGCCTTGACTCACAGTTGCACAGCAGCTGCGCCTTGACTCACAGTTGCACAGCAGCTGCGCCTTCACTCACAGTTGCACAGCAGCTGCGCCTTCACTCACAGTTGCACAGCACCTGCGCCTTCACTCACAGTTGCACAGCACCTGCGCCTTCACTCACAGTTGCACAGCAGCTGCGCCTTCACTCACAGTTGCACAGCAGCTGCGCCTTCACTCACAGTTGCACAGCAGCTGCGCCTTCACTTACAGTTGCACAGCACCTGCGCCTTGACTCACAGTTGCACAGCAGCTGCGCCTTGACTCACAGTTGCACAGCAGCTGCGCCTTCACTCACAGTTGCACAGCAGCTGCGCCTTCACTCACAGTTGCACAGCAGCTGCGCCTTCACTCACAGTTGCACAGCAGCTGCGCCTTCACTCACAGTTGCACAGCAGCTGCGCCTTCACTTACAGTTGCACAGCACCTGCGCCTTGACTCACAGTTGCACAGCAGCTGCGCCTTGACTCACAGTTGCACAGCAGCTGCGCCTTGACTCACAGTTGCACAGCAGCTGCGCCTTCACTCACAGTTGCACAGCAGCTGCGCCTTGACTCACAGTTGCACAGCAGCTGCGCCTTCACTCACAGTTGCACAGCAGCTGCGCCTTCACTCACAGTTGCACAGCAGCTGCGCCTTCACTCACAGTTGCACAGCAGCTGCGCCTTGACTCACAGTTGCACAGCAGCTGCGCCTTCACTCACAGTTGCACAGCAGCTGCGCCTTCACTCACAGTTGCACAGCACCTGCGCCTTCACTCACAGTTGCACAGCAGCTGCGCCTTCACTCACAGTTGCACAGCAGCTGCGCCTTCACTCACAGTTGCACAGCAGCTGCGCCTTCACTCACAGTTGCACAGCAGCTGCGCCTTCACTTACAGTTGCACAGCACCTGCGCCTTGACTCACAGTTGCACAGCAGCTGCGCCTTGACTCACAGTTGCACAGCAGCTGCGCCTTGACTCACAGTTGCACAGCAGCTGCGCCTTCACTCACAGTTGCACAGCACCTGCGCCTTCACTCACAGTTGCACAGCAGCTGCGCCTTCACTCACAGTTGCACAGCAGCTGCGCCTTCACTCACAGTTGCACAGCAGCTGCGCCTTCACTTACAGTTGCACAGCACCTGCGCCTTGACTCACAGTTGCACAGCAGCTGCGCCTTGACTCACAGTTGCACAGCAGCTGCGCCTTGACTCACAGTTGCACAGCAGCTGCGCCTTCACTCACAGTTGCACAGCAGCTGCGCCTTCACTCACAGTTGCACAGCAGCTGCGCCTTCACTCACAGTTGCACAGCAGCTGCGCCTTCACTCACAGTTGCACAGCAGCTGCGCCTTCACTTACAGTTGCACAGCACCTGCGCCTTGACTCACAGTTGCACAGCAGCTGCGCCTTGACTCACAGTTGCACAGCAGCTGCGCCTTCACTCACAGTTGCACAGCAGCTGCGCCTTGACTCACAGTTGCACAGCAGCTGCGCCTTCACTCACAGTTGCACAGCAGCTGCGCCTTGACTCACAGTTGCACAGCAGCTGCGCCTTCACTCACAGTTGCACAGCAGCTGCGCCTTGACTCACAGTTGCCTTCACTCACAGTTGCACAGCAGCTGCGCCTTCACTCACAGTTGCACAGCACCTGCGCCTTGACTCACAGTTGCACAGCAGCTGCGCCTTGACTCACAGTTGCACAGCAGCTGCGCCTTGACTCACAGTTGCACAGCAGCTGCGCCTTGACTCACAGTTGCACAGCAGCTGCGCCTTGACTCACAGTTGCACAGCAGCTGCGCCTTCACTCACAGTTGCACAGCAGCTGCGCCTTCACTCACAGTTGCACAGCAGCTGCGCCTTCACTCACAGTTGCACAGCAGCTGCGCCTTGACTCACAGTTGCACAGCAGCTGCGCCTTCACTCACAGTTGCACAGCAGCTGCGCCTTCACTCACAGTTGCACAGCACCTGCGCCTTCACTCACAGTTGCACAGCAGCTGCGCCTTCACTCACAGTTGCACAGCACCTGCGCCTTCACTCACAGTTGCACAGCAGCTGCGCCTTCACTTACAGTTGCACAGCAGCTGCGCCTTGACTCACAGTTGCACAGCAGCTGCGCCTTCACTCACAGTTGCACAGCAGCTGCGCCTTCACTCACAGTTGCACAGCAGCTGCGCCTTCACTCACAGTTGCACAGCAGCTGCGCCTTGACTCCCAGTTGCACAGCAGCTGCGCCTTGACTCACAGTTGCACAGCAGCTGCGCCTTCACTCACAGTTGCACAGCAGCTGCGCCTTCACTCACAGTTGCACAGCAGCTGCGCCTTCACTCACAGTTGCACAGCAGCTGCGCCTTCACTTACAGTTGCACAGCACCTGCGCCTTGACTCACAGTTGCACAGCAGCTGCGCCTTGACTCACAGTTGCACAGCAGCTGCGCCTTCACTCACAGTTGCACAGCAGCTGCGCCTTGACTCACAGTTGCACAGCAGCTGCGCCTTCACTCACAGTTGCACAGCAGCTGCGCCTTGACTCACAGTTGCACAGCAGCTGCGCCTTCACTCACAGTTGCACAGCAGCTGCGCCTTGACTCACAGTTGCACAGCAGCTGCGCCTTCACTCACAGTTGCACAGCAGCTGCGCCTTGACAGCCGCAGCATGCGCCTCACCTGCGCCTGCAGGGGTGGTGAGAGGGCAGGCGCGGGCGGGACGGAGGTGCGGCAATGGGTGCACGTGAGGTTGGCGGCGATGCGCGTAGGGAGGACAGCGCGCGGGATGAGAGGGACGGATCTAGTGTGGGGCGGATCTAGTGTGGGGCGGATCTAGTGTGGGGCGGATCTAGTGTGGGGCGGATCTAGTGTGGGGCGGATCTAGTGTGGGGCGGATCTAGTGTGGGGCGGATCTAGTGTGGGGCGGATCTAGTGTGGGGCGGATCTAGTGTGGGGCGGATCTAGTGTGGGGCGGATCTAGTGTGGGGCGGATCTAGTGTGGGGCGGATCTAGTGTGGGGCGGATCTAGTGTGGGGCGGATCTAGTGTGGGGCGGATCTAGTGTGGGGCGGATCTAGTGTGGGGCGGATCTAGTGTGGGGCGGATCTAGTGTGGGGCGGATCTAGTGTGGGGCGGATCTAGTGTGGGACGGATCTAGTGTGGGGCGGATCTAGTGTGGGACGGATCTAGTGTGGGGCGGATCTAGTGTGGGCGGATCTAGTGTGGGGCGGATCTAGTGTGGGGCGGATCTAGTGTGGGGCGGATCTAGTGTGGGGCGGATCTAGTGTGGGGCGGATCTAGTGTGGGGCGGATCTAGTGTGGGGCGGATCTAGTGTGGGGCGGATCTAGTGTGGGGCGGATCTAGTGTGGGGCGGATCTAGTGTGGGGCGGATCTAGTGTGGGGCGGATCTAGTGTGGGGCGGATCTAGTGTGGGGCGGATCTAGTGTGGGGCGGATCTAGTGTGGGGCGGATCTAGTGTGGGGCGGATCTAGTGTGGGGCGGATCTAGTGTGGGGCGGATCTAGTGTGGGGCGGATCTAGTGTGGGGCGGATCTAGTGTGGGGCGGATCTAGTGTGGGGCGGATCTAGTGTGGGGCGGATCTAGTGTGGGGCGGATCTAGTGTGGGGCGGATCTAGTGTGGGAGTGGTTAGTGAGTGAGATGGACGAGAGGTGAGGGCGGGCGAGGATGGCAAGGCGTGGCGAGCAGAGGGGGCAAGAAGGGTGAGGGGAGCAGCAAGCAGCAGCGGAGGAGAGGGATGACAAGGGGTGGTTAGCAGGCCCGCGGTGCATGGATGGACTGTCCAAGGGCTCACGAGCAGGTGTGCATGGTCCGCTGTAGTGATGCGCGCCAACCCCATCACCCTCACTCGCAGCCATGTGCCTTGCCGCACCGCCACTCTCGTACCACTGCCAGCAGCAGCAGCATCAGCAGTGGCGCTTCTGATGGCGGTGGGGGCATGCGTGTCGCACAGGGCGTCAACAGGCTCCTCCTTCACGCCCGCGCTGCCGTCGCCACTGGAACGTTCCAAGACGTCAGCAGCGTCATGCTGTGTGACGTCAGCACTGCAATGTTGTGTGACGTCAGCAGCGCCATGCTGTGTCACGTCAGCAGTGCCATGGTGTGTGACGTCAGCAGCGCCATGCTGTGTGACGTCAGCAGCGCCATGCTGTGTGACGTCAGCAGCGCCATGGTGTGTAACGTCAGCAGCGCCATGCTGTGTGATTCGCACCATCACCGCTCGCCCATCAGCCAGCCTCAGCGGCCGCTCCATCGCTCCCCATGCTTGCTCTCCCCCTCCCCATGCGTTCCCACTGCTCCCCCGCTCCCCCTCCTCATCGAGCCCTTTCCTCTCGGCCGTCCCGCTCCCCTCCGCCCCCTCCCGCCCATCCCCCGCCTCCCGCCTGCCTCCTTCCGCGCTCCCTGGTTCTCCCGCCGCCTCCTCTGCCTCGCTCTTCACTCCCAGCCCCTCTTGTGCCGTTGATTCACTGACACGTGGCGGAATCCAGACGGTCGGCGCCATCATAAAGAATCCGTAGCTGCAAACGGCGGCGGGGAGGGAGAAGCCATCAGGCAACGCCACGTGGAGACAGACGGACGGTTCAGGTTCAGCGAGCGACAACGACGATGGCCGGCCGTCCGTGCTTTGAGTGTTGTCGGAGGCAACGAGGGCTTCCATGGTGCGGATCGCAGCGGGGCGCGCGCGAGGCTCCGAGCTGACGACGGACGCGAGCGGGTGCAATTCGCGTGCGCCGCATGTGCTGCGAGGCAGCTCACACTCTCACAGAAATGGACGAGCTTTTCGTGGCGCTCAGCAATTCTGGCCTTCCGACGCGGAATCTGCGGCTTTCCTTAGGACAGACGAGTCGGTGCGCGTGATCCGCTTCAAGGTGGCTTCGGCACTATTTCAGTGGCGCCGACGCAATTCCTATTTGATGCGTTGCCAGTTCGCTCGAATGAATACTTATCAGCGAACTCAAAGTTGGGAAAACACAGAATTTCTTACTGTAACCTACCGAATGATAGAATAGGTTAAAAAATGTGGAAACGAGCTAGGCAAGGTGGTCGGTTTGGTTTCAAAGTGCCGAGAGGTGCGGTGGCGCCTCGCGAGTGGTTCGGGGCGAAATTGTAGGCCGAACCAGCAGCTGTGAAGGCCTCGGAAGGAACTCGCTAAAGAGTGTCTACAATCAAGTGCAAATCCTTAGACCAGTGCACACCAGGAACAAGGGGGATGGCTTTCACAACGATGAGAGGGTTAGAAGAGAGTGCATGGATCCAAGCAGTGAGGCGTATTGTTGGCGCTTGGATGGCTACATGATGGTTGCGTTGATGGGCGAGTTGATGGGCGCGTTGTGGGTGCATCGTTCCTTGACAGACACTGGTTCCGGCGACAAAAAGAGGGACCTCACATTAGGAAAAATTGCAAGCCGTGGTCATCGCAGGAGTCCTTGAATGTTTCTCAGGTGCTCCCAGGGACTTCGGTTTTCAGGTGCTGTCAGGGGCTTTGGTTTTCAGGTGCTGTCAGGGGCTTTGGTTTTCAGGTGCTGTCAGGGGCTTTGGTTTTCAGGTGCTGTCAGGGGCTTTGATTTTCAGGTGCTGTCATGAGGGCTGCATCAGGTGTCAGTGTGTGTCAGCTGAGGTGCGGTACTATGAACATGGTGGGCTGCTCGTGGCCTCGCATGCGAGGGGGGCAGCATGACAGGGCGGGGAGTGGAGCACTGAGCAGGAGCGGAGGGGCGTGGGGTAGCAGGAGGGCAGCTAGGTGGGCAGCAGGAGGCCAGCTAGGTGGGCACGAAGTCATGGACATCGCCACCCTCAGTGTGCACCACGGCTGCCAGCCTGCCCCCCAGCACGGCCAGCAGCAGCACCACGGCAGCCAGCAGCACCATCTGCAACACCCCCTCCACCGCCCTCTCCAATGCTGTCACCGTCGCCACCACCCACGCCCTCACTCCCCTCCCCTCCACCACCTCACCTCCCCCCTCCTCTCCATCCTCCCCCTCACCCCCATCCGTGTCGCAGTCCCCAGCAGTGGTCTCGCGGCTCCATTCCCCGTCACAGATCTCTCCCTTCCCCACTTGTCGCTCGGCCTGTCTGCTGTGACCGCTGCTCATCCCGCCACCACCGCCACTCACACTCGCACGCACAGCACGCGCCTCACCACCGCTGCACGCCTCGCTGCTCCCTCCTTGCCTCAACTTCGCCCCAACCCCCACTGCCTCACTCACTGATTCACACTCCTGCCCTTGGCCCTTTCCCTTCCCCTCTGCGTCCTCCCTCCCCTCTGTGCCAGCCCCCACCGCATTGCCTCTCCCTCCACACTCCTCTCCTCCCTCCACCTCCTCAACGCATGCACCTCCCTCCCTCTCCTCGCCCCTCCCCTCCCCCACCTCCTCCACGTACTGCTCCAGCTGTGCCACGGCCTGCTGCTGCTCCCTCTCACTCGCCTCCAGCACCCTCACCTCCTGCTGCACCTCCTCCTCCCACGCGCCCTCGCCTGCACCACCAGTGACAGCATCATCAGCATCAGCAGGTTCAGTGGTAGTGGCAGGTGCAGGTTTGACCACAGCACTCTCTGCCACGTGTTCCCCACTCGCAGTAAGTCCAGGCACACCGAACCTGCTGGGAGGCGCCTCACATGTGAGGCCGTGGGCAGCCATGGGGTTGTGGTGCATGCTCCACCGCCCACAATCCATGCAGCCACTCATGTGAGGGGAAGGAGACCCGCTGTTGCCGCTCGTGCTGCTGGCTGCTGTGGGCGCGGTGAGAGCAGTGCTGCTGCTGCCACCGGTGCCCTGGGCGCCGCTGGGAGTGCAAGAGGTGCGGTGGGGCGAGGGCGGGGGAAGCACGTCGACCTCGTCCCCACTGAGCGGCGTGTGCTGCAGACTCCTCGCCAGCGCTGCCAGCGGCACCGGGCACTCCAGGTCCTCCGCGCGGATGGGGGACGCCTGGGGGGTGGGCGGATGGCGGGATGGGGGATGGGGGGATGGGGAAATGGGGGGATGGGGGAATGGGGGGATGCGGGATGGGGGGATGGGGGGACGGAGCAGAGTTTGAGGAGGCAGAGTGAGGGAGGTGTAGGTCTGAGGCTGGAGAAAAGGATGGGGTTGATTCGCAGGGTGGGACGGAAGGATGGGAGGGGCACAAGGCAGGCGGAGCCATGGGATGAAATGGGGGAGGAGAGGGAGAGGATGGAGATGGGGTATAGCAGATGAGCAGAACGAATGAGCGAATAGGTGGAGAACGAATGAGCGAGTAGGTGGAGAACGAATGAGCGAGTAGGTGGAGAACGAATGAGCGAGTAGGTGGAGAACGAATGAGCGAGTAGGTGGAGAACGAATGAGCGAGTAGGTGGAGAACGAATGAGCGAGTAGGTGGAGAACGAATGAGCGAGTAGGTGGAGAACGGAAATGGAGGGGAAGCGAAAAAGAGATGGATTGGCACAAGGAGAGCGACAAGTGCAAGAGAGGGATCAACGGAAGGGAAACGTGGGGAGAATAGCTCTTTGTGGAAAAGGAGCAATGATTGTAAGGCAAGGGATAGGACTCTGGTGGGCGATACGAGTAGGAGAGTGACAAATGAACGATGGGAAGCAGAAGGATTGGTGGAAATGAGAGGGACAGGTGGAATTGAGAGGGACAGGTTGGGAGCAAGGGAAGGAGGGGCAGCGGAGAGGAGAGGAAGAGGTGGGGAGGAGAGGGAGAGGTGGAGAGGAGAGGGAGAGGTGGGGAGGAGATGGGGAGGTGGGGAGGAGAGGGAGAGGTGGGAGGAGAGGGAGACGTGAGGAGGAGAGGGAGAGGTGGGGAGGAGAGGGAGACGTGAGGAGGAGAGGGAGAGGTGGGACCCGGTGTGCTCACATATCGGTGTTTGCTGGCAGTCTCCCCTGCCCTGCTCGCCCGCACACTGCCACACAGCGACTGCAACGCACCCACATGCTGCACCTCCCCTCCGCCCCTCGCTGACGTGGCACTGCCTCTTCCTGATGCCAAACTATCCCGTGCGGACGTCATGCCACTCCCCCCGTCCATAAAGAGGGCCATGGGCGGGGGCGGCTTACCCTGCAGCGTCCAGCGGCCAATGCTGCCCGGCGGGGACAGGCAGCTCGCGCCAAACCCACTCACCTCCTCCCGCCCCTCTCCTTGCCCCTCCCCCTGCCCATCCTCACTCTCTCCCTCATCCCCTTTGTGCACCCGCCCCAGCCCTGAGCCTCTCTTGTGCTGCCCTTGCAACTGCTGCTGCACGGGCTGGGAGGGCGGGGCGAGTTGCATGGTGGGTGGGAGGGGGGGAGGCGGGGCGAAGAGCAGGGGTGTGGAGGGCTGGGCGTGGGAGGGCGGGGGCGGCTCAGACGTGCGGTGCAGCGGTGGTGGCGCAGAGCCCATGGGGAGCGTGGCGCGGTGGGCGTTGCTGGCGCTGCTGCTGCGGCTGCCGTCCTTACTACCGCCTGAGGGGTTGCTGCTGATGGGCAAGGCAGGAGAATGGGGGGAGAGGCAAGGCTGTTGACATAAGGGGGGAAGGGCAAATAGTGCAGAAAGGTAGGAGCGTGGACGGGGTGCGGGGATGAAAAGGGTGGAGAGCATGAGGAAGAGGAAGCGCCCCCGAGAGGTGCAAGAACAAGAGGGCTGTGCTGTGCGGCCTAGCGCGGCACAGACCTGAGGGCGGAGTGGGCTGTGCGGCCTAGCGCGGCACAGCCCTGAGGGCGGAGAGGGCTGTGCGGCCTAGCGCGGCACAGCCCTGAGGGCGGAGAGGGCTGTGCGGCCTAGCGCGGCACAGACCTGAGGGCGGAGAGGGCTGTGCGGCCTAGCGCGGCACAGACCTGAGGGCGGAGAGGGCTGTGCGGCCTAGCGCGGCACAGACCTGAGGGCGGAGAGGGCTGTGCGGCCTAGCGCGGCACAGACCTGAGGGCGGAGAGGGCTGTGCGGCCTAGCGCGGCACAGACCTGAGGGCGGAGAGCGCGTGGGTGGCGCGCATGCTGGCGAGCGCGAAGGCCACCTCAGCGTCGGAGATGAGGCGGCAGAAGCCCGATGATCCCTCCCACTCGCTGCTGCCCTCGCGTGCCCCGCTGCTGCTGCCCTCGCGTGCCCCGCTGCTGCTGCCCTCGCGTGCCCCGCTGCTGCTGCCCTCGCGTGCCCCGCTGCTGCTGCCCTCGCGTGCCCTGCTGCTGCTGCCCTCGCGTGCGCCCTGTGCGCTGGCGCCTGTGCCGGCATGCGGGGGCAGGTGCAGCAGGAAGCCCGCCTGCCCTGACGCCTTCCCCACACCCCCTCCTGTGCCCACCTGCCGGCTGCCTGGTGGCTGTGAGTGCGAGGGCGGCGAGGGCAAGGGCGAGGTCAAGTGGCGCGAGCGCTCCAAGTAGAGCCCCGCATGGGCTGAGTCTGGGGCCATGGCAGAGTCTGTGGTGGCGCGGGCAGAGGGCAGTCACAGGGAGTGGGAAACGGTGATGACGGTGGTTCATGGATGGGGGTGGGTGAGGGAGCAGAGGGGGAAGGAGGGGCGACTGAGACAATCTGGCAGTTTCGCACGAACAACAAACAAATGTTCAAGTTGCGCGCACCTATGAAAGCACGATGGGGGCACACCTGAGAGAGTGATGCGCATGGGGGCACACCTGAGAGAGTGATGCGCATGGGGCTCCCTCTGCCGCCACCCCCACCAGCAGCACCGCCCAGCGCCCCCCCCGCCATCCTGCTGCCCCCCAGGCGGTACGCCCCCAGCTGGTCAGGGCTGCCGGAGGTGAGGCTAAACGTGCTGAGCCTGCCAGAGAGGTCGGGCGACTTGCGGGCGCGCACGAAGGCAGCAGCGAGCTCGTAGAGGGGCGAGTTGCCGCGGCTGTGTGGCGACCTGGCCTTGCCTCCTCGCACCGCTTCACGGCCCTCGCCACTCGTGCTGGGCGACAGGCTGCTCCTTGCGTTGCCCCTGCTGCTCTCACTCGTGGGGCTCCACTCCCGCCCACCGTTGCCAGCACCGTTGGCAGCAGCAGCCCGCCCCATGGCCTTGTGCCCGCTGCCCCCAGCGCCGGCATTCTCCTGCTCCCCATGCCCCACCACTCTGGCTCCTCTCCCCCCCGGGCCCCTCCATGCCTCGTGTGCTGCGTGCTCACGCAACTCATGTGGCACTATATTCGAGTCAAACGACTGGCCAGCGGAGCCAAAGGGCACGGGGTCAGGTGAGACAGTGCTGCGGGGCACATCCCTCGCCCCCATCTCCTCCTCAAACACCCTCCGCCGCACTGACCGCATGTCGTCCGGGCTCTCACTGGCCACACCATGGTCCGGGCCCGGGGAGACAAAAGCTTTCCTTTGAGTGGAACCGCCGGGGCCGAGGTAGAGGGAGGGCGAGGGGCCGAGGTGTGAGAGGGAGGCGGGCGAGCGCGCGGAGTAGGGCGCGGAGGGGGGCGGCGTGGCGGAGAGGGCGCTGCCGTGCACCGCCGTGGTGGTGAAGGTGGCGGTGCCCCGCGCCTGGAAGGCCGTGAACTGCCCTGGCGGACTCTGGAACGCCCAACTCCCCTCTGACGCCGCTGCTCCCTGCGCCCCCCCTGCTTCCGCTTCTGCTGCCGCTGCTGCTGCGTGTGTGGAGGAGTGCAGAGAGGAGGCGTGGTGGGGCAGGGCGGGCAGGGGGGTGAAGTAGAGCGTGGGGTCGCGTGGAGGAGGCTCCGATGGCTGTGAGGCAGCTCGTGCAGCAGCGAGCGCAGGCACGGCAGGGGCAATGGCGAGGGGCGCGGTGCGGGCAGCGGAGGAGGATGCAGCTGAGTGCGTGGGCGACGTGGGGCCCTCTCCCTCTCCCTCGCCCTCTGCCCGCCTCTCCTGCTGCCACCCGTGCTGTCGCCCCTCACCCACCTTGCTCTCGTCGCTCTCACCACCCATCCACGCTGGGCTCCTGCTGCTGCTGCTGCCCGCACCAGGCGTGGCATGGCGAGGCCCGTCCGCGGGGTGGGCGTGTGGCGCGCGCGGGGCAGTGTCGGGGCGCCAGCGCGCTGCTGCCTTGCTGGCTGAGGACGTGGCGCCTGGCCTGGGGCAGTGCTTCTGATGGGCGCACGGGGCGTGTGGGGCCGGGAGGGCGATAAGAGAAATGAGGAGACAGAGAGCGACCGCCTCGCCCTGTGTGCCTGTCTTGTGCCCAGCATGCAGGCAGGCAGTGCAAGCGGCAACGCCTAATCGCTCTGAATGAACGCATGCCGCAGGCGGCCACATGTGCTGCCAGCGCAGGGGCGCACCTTCTTGTCCTGCCAGCGCAGGGGCGCACCTTCTTGTCCTGCCAGCGCAGGGGCGCACCTTCTTGTCCTGCCAGCGCAGGGGCGCACCTTCTTGTCCTGCCAGCGCAGGGGCGCACCTTCTTGTCCTGCCAGCGCAGGGGCGCACCTTCTTGTCCTGCCAGCGCAGGGGCGCACCTTCTTGTCCTGCCAGCGCAGGTGCGCACCTTCTTGTCCTGCCAGCGCAGGGGCGCACCTTCTTGTCCTGCCAGCGCAGGGGCGCACCTTCTTGTCCTGGATGGCCTTGCCAGCGGCGAGCGCGTCGGGCTTGAGCTTGGGGTGGTTGGCGGCCTCCCGCAGCAGCGCCACCACGTCCCTCAGCTCCGCCTGAAACACTGCCGCGCTGCAGCTGCTGGGGGCACGGGGGGGCATCAGGAGGCCAGTGCACGAGGGCTTGGAAATTAGAGACCAAGGGGAGAAAGGAGCTTCCGTGGATAAATGCAGGCAGATCGAAGTAATGGAGGCGAAGAGCAGAGTTGCACAGTGTGGCTGCCCGGGTGATGCTGTGGCGTTGCAAGGGCGCCACAAGACGAGCACAGGCGGACACTCTAATGAACCGCGTGAGTGCAGGGCGCGTGGGGCAGGCATCGCTGTAGTCGTCCGGTTTAAACCCCGTGCGGGCTGCTCGGCACACAGGGCCTCTGACGGAGACAGGCACACAGGGCCTCTGACGGAGACAGGCACACACACTTTCCCCTCCTGCACATGTCCTCCCACAACTTCTCCCCCCGGCGCTTCCACCCACCCCCCCCCCCCCCCCCCCCGCCCTCCTCTCTCGCCCCCCACCTGCGCATGGCGTCCTCTCGCCCCCCACCTGCGCATGGCGTCCTCTCGCCCCCCACCTGCGCATGGCGTCCTTGAGCAGGCGCACGGCGTACAGGCGGTGCTCCACGGACGCCGCCCCCCGCAGCACCTCCTTGCCCGCCCGCAGCAGCGTCTTGGCGTGGAACTGGCACCGAGGGAAGGGGTGCGGACAAAAGGAGGGATGCACGGGAAGTGAGAGGCACGCACAGTGCAGCTGGAGTGCGGACACAAGTGGAGAGGACGCAAGTGGAGATGACGCAAGTGGAGAGGACGCAAGTGGAGAGGACGCAAGTGGAGAGGACGCAAGTGGAGAGGACGCAAGTGGAGAGGACGCAAGTGGAGAGGACGCAAGTGGAGAGGACGCAAGTGGAGAGGACGCAAGTGGAGAGGACGCAAGTGGAGAGGACGCAAGTGGAGAGGACGCAAGTGGAGAGGACGCAAGTGGAGAGGACGCAAGTGGAGAGGACGCTGGCACGGACTTAGAGGAGCTGACACACGCAGCTTGGGGCGTACACTGCAAGGCAGTGCACTGCTACCAGACACAGGCACATGGCGCGTGGCAGAGGCAGCAACCTTGGCGAGCGAGGCGTCGAGGTGGCAGAGGTCGCATGCCAGCTGCAGCAGCGCTAGCGGGCGGTGCACGCCGCCCAGCGCTGCTGTGAGCGCCTTGAACGCCCCCTCCTGTGATTCCTTGGGCACCTGCTGGCCATGCACCATGAACGCACACACGTGCACACGCACACACACACACGTGCACACGCACACACACACACGTGCACACGCACACACACACACGTGCACGCACACACACACACACACACACACACACACATCTGCAAACAAACAAACACACACACACACACACTCACACACACACACACACTCACACACACACACACACACACACACTCACAAAAGGCTGATTGTATGTGCACGCGAAGAGAACAGTGAGAATAGATTCAGTCAACTCCCGTGAGATGAGTGCAGAGCAGGGTGAAGGAAGGCGGATGACAGCAGGCAGAGAGGGACGCTGCTTTGGATTCCGCTTGCCACACATCTAGCGCAATGCACAGCCTCAATCAGTCCGCCCTCCCACACTCGCCTGCTTCCACTTGCCCGCCTGCACCAGCGCCAGCAGGCACCTGGCCGCGCCCGCCAGCGCGTCATGCTCCGCGCCCCCTGCTGCCACCGCCCCGCCCCCTCCGCCCCCGCCTGCCCCCGGTGCGTGGTGCTGCTGCACGTGGCGGTGGTGCTGCTCTGCCAGCTCCGCTGCGAGCGGGTCGCAGATGGCCGCCAGCACTGCGCACACACGCACGGCCACAGCCACGGCGGTTCAGAGGCAAACACGAATGTATCAAGGCAAGGCACTGCCACTCGTATCATGGAACAAATCGGAACAGAAGAGCGTGGCAGTGGGATGAGAGAGCATGGGGAATGGGTGGGAACCTGCACGACCCCGCACGTGCACTGCCTCGCCAGCGGGAAGCGCACCTATCTGAGTCTCCGCCGCGGCTGCGGAGTCGGCAGTGGGGTCGTGGGGGGGCGCGACGCAGTGCGTGGCCATCTCCACCACCACGTCCGCGCACGCCGCGTGCAGCGACGCCGCGCTCCTGCCGCCGCCACCGCCCGGCGTGCCTCCTGCCGCTGCCGCCGCTCCACCGCTGCTCGCCATGCTGCTGCCGTTGGCGGCGGCGGCGCCCGCGGCGAGGGCGCGCACGAGCGCCGTCATGACCTTGGGCACGTGCAGCGCCATCTGCTGCCCGTACGTGCGCGCACACTCTGCGAACAGCGACACTGCCAGCACGCAAGCAACGCGCAAGCAACGCGCAAGCAACGCGCACCTCTTGTGGGTTCTGTTTCTGACGTGTCGCATGCCGTACCTTTCTCGCCACGCTCAGCCGGCAATGAATGATCTACCTCTCTTGCTACAGTGAGCCATCAGTGGTGAACGCAAACCCATCAGTCGTACGGACTGTGCTGTGATCCATTCGCTCGCGCAGCAAGCTGCAACGACGCGACACGGCCGTACGTGATGCATGTTTCGCCCTTCTCACCAGCATATCGCTTGCTGCTGGTGTGGCGCACAGTCGTCTCCGCCACGTGGTGCAGCAGCCGCGGCATCACCTCCGGAGCCACGTCTTTGACCGTTCGCCTGCCATCAACGGAAATGGATCTCGGTGAACGAGGATGCAATAAAATTGCGAGCTCAAGTGGAAGCTGACAGGAGTTCACAAACGGCATGGCAGTGGCATTAGCGGCACGGCAGTACCTGAGAGCGGCCAAGGACCCTCTCCTGGTGTGCGGGTCCTCGAGCGCCTCCAGCGACTCCCGAAACACGGGACTCGACCATCCCGACATCCCGCTCCTCCGCCTCCTCCGGTTCCAATAACAAGCCTAACCAGCGCAATGCAGATCTATCCCGTCATCGGAGATGCCAAAAAAGAACCAGCACATGCCCAGCTATCTTGACGCGTCTGGCCTAGAGTGAATTGTGGCAAACAATCACTAGAGCATCGGCTGTGATAGGCACCTTGGAAAGCGCGTGTGAGGGGAAGGGGGAGAGATGATGGGGGAGAAGCAGAAACAATCGAGGGCCACGAGACGACCAATTGCAGTCCAGCAAGATCGCTGAAAGGCCCACTCGATGGTGTATCCTCTCCTCAGTGTTGACATGGTTTAAAGCCCAAAGCCCGAATTGCAAAGTCAAAAGCAAACTGGTGAAACTGTGCCTCCCGCACCTTTTTAGCCGAACCACGTTGAGGGTTCCGCACCTGCTTGGTTACCATGCGTTGGCGTTGGTATAGTGCAAACTCGTTCTAAAAAAAAAAAAAAAAAAACAAGAGGCGACGAAATCTTCTTAGGGTTGCGAAGCAACATTACACTGTTATTTTTAGATACATCTGATCTATAGTGAGAATTATATAATATCGTAACATGACTTTGATATTTGCTGAATCATTGCTATTCATAGATACATGTTTCATATAATATGGGAGTATACAAATGAAAGGGTGTACATAACAGATGGGTGTGGTTGTTTAGGGTAAGTTATTCTTGTTGTGTTCATAATTTGGTTTTAGGGTGACTGAAAATCTGAAACAAAAAAAGCTACAGAAAGGAAAAGCTTTATTTTACCAAACAATGTCCATGACCAGACTCGAACTCCCAACCTTCGCGATGAAACGCGGCTTCGACAGAGCTGTGCTATACAATCCGTGTTTGTAGTGGCGTAGAACTTTATCGACCTTAAATTCAATAAAAACGTCCCATTCTAGGGTTTCGTCACATGTCTTTTTGCTCCGTTTCTCTTCCACCTAGTCAGACTACTCTAACTTCTCCCCGTCCCTCACGCCACTCACGCCACTCACACCACTCAGACTATAACTCCTAGTTAAGGTAAGCCTCATTCTCTCTATTCTTAAGTTCATTCTAGTTGAGAGTGGGTTCTAGTTTAGCTCATTTGGTTGAGAGTTGTTTTTTTTTAAACGAGATCTAGACGTTTTTTGTTTCTTAACCTCGCTTTCTTCCTAGGTTATGCACCGTACTTTTGTTCTCTCCTTCCCTCTCCTTCTCTCCACTTCTTCCCATCTTCTTCTCTCCTTTATTTCGATTTACATTCTACTTGCTTGCTCTTTTCAGCTCTTGCTCTTACTTTTGTCTTCTTCCGTACGCTGTTTCTTGATTTATTCCTCTTCCTTAATTGAAATTTGACATGATTATTAACAATTATGTTCAGAGAGTTAAATTATTAGGTTGGAGCATTCTCTTTCTCGTTCTCTTTCTCGTTCTCTCGTTGTCTAGTTCTTTCTCGTTCTCTCGTTCGTTCTCCCTCGTTCTTTCTCTCCCGTTTTCTCTCTCTCTCTCGCGTTCTCTCTCTCTCTCTCTCTTGTTCTCTCTTTCTCTCGTTCTCTCGTTCTCCCTCGTTTTCTCGTTCTCTCTCTCTTCTCTCTCTCTCTCTCTCTCGTTATTTCACTCTCGTACTCTCGCTCTCGCTCTCGATCGTTCACCCTCGTTCTCTCTCGCTCGTTCCCTCTCTCGTTCTCTCCCTCTCGTTTCTCGTTTTCTCTCTATCGTTCTCTCTCTCTCGTTCTCTCTCGTTTTCTTTCTCTCTCGATCTCTCTCTCTCTCGTTCTCCCTCTCTCGTCCTCTCTCTCTCGATCTCTCTCTCGTTCTCTCTCTCTCTCTCTCTCGTTCTCTCTCTCTCGTTCTCTCTCTCGTTCTCTCTCTTGTTCTCTCTCTCTCTCTCGTTCTCTTTCTCTCTCGTTTTCTCATTCTTGTTCTCTCGTTCTCTCTCTCTCTCGTTCTCTCTCTCTCTCGTTCTCTCTCTCTCGTTCTCTTTCTCTCTCGTTTTCTCGTTCTTGTTCTCTCGTTCTCTCTCTCTCATGTTCCCTCTCTCTTGGTCCTGATTATTTATATTTACCACTTTTCTATGATTTCTTTTTCTCTTTATCTACTTTGTTTTTGTTTTCAGGAGTTTTGCTGATCAAGAAGACGAGTGCAATCTGGACAATTTGTAGTTGTCACTTATAGGATTTCCCATATTGCCATCTTTATTTTGTTTTGCATCTTTTACCGTATGTCTTATCGTGGGTTTTCGGCTCGTTTTTTTGTTGTGCATGCGTTTGGTTGTTGTGAATGTGTTTGCTTGTCTGAGTGTGCATTCATCCATCATTGCAATAACAATGCATGTCTTTGAATTTTAAAAAGGTGAATCGGCTCTATCATCTTTACCAAAAGGTTCATTGGCGCGCTTGTCGGGAGCCCACTTGAACTGGAGATGATAGAGTTGACCATCTTTTTGGAGTTCACAGATTGTGTTGTCTCATGTGACTGCTGATTGTTCAAAGATTATGCTATCAACTCCCCGACATGCTAGGCGGGGGATGTGGTAGCATAGTTTTTGGGTCGTTAGCTTTCACGCATCTCTATCATTATAAATATGCATCATAGATTGTCAGTAATATGTAAGCATTATTCGTATCGAACATAAGGCATGCATTTATCATTTATCATATCGTATCATATCATACACAATATATTTCATATAATATCAATCTATTCATCTACATTCACCGATAATTGTATTCATCTCATCATATTATGTGCATATTATATGGTAGTAAATCACAGCCAAGTAAATCACAGAAATAACCTAGTTGTCTAAAAAAATCGGTACCACCACGTTAGTATAATTGAACTAGACAGGACCTCCTACAGTTTCCGTAGCTATCAATTAGGAAAATCAGTTTTTTTTTATTTTCATATTTTATTTTAAATAAATAAAATGTGAAAATGTGAAAAAAAAAAACTGGCCAAATCGATCGTAATAGGTTGCTTCGCAACCCAAAAAAAAAAAATGCGTTGGCCTGTGCGAGTTTCGACAAGCCCAAAATGAGTTTTGCAGCACATCCCCGTCGAAAATACGAGCACGCGGGGGTAGGCCATTAGGAAAGCCCAGCCTACGTGCTTGTAATTCGGGTTTCCAAATCGACGTCAGTTTCTGCCCATGCTCTCCCACTATTCCCAATCTCTTTACCGATGAGAGGAAACCCCGCAATCTGAGTATTTTTGCCGAGCGCCGCGACAAAGAACGGCGGAAGTGGAAAACGCGCAGAGGACATTTCCTGGCAGAGACAAGGTGGTTGGGGGATATAGTCCCGTGGACGAGCCAGGCGCGGCGTACGGCGGATAGGAGAGGGCGTCAGGCACGCGCAGTAGTGCGTGGTTCCGCGCACGGCGGAACGGGCCTCGTTGAGAGATCTATCGGGCGCTGTAGGCCGGGCCGGAGGGATGGTAGCGCGGGGGCGGAGGTCGAAAGGGGAAGGGCGAGGGTTGTTGCCGGCAGACGGCGATATGTCTAACCAGTCCTTACATCTGCTATGCCGAATATCCAGTCAAACCTAGATTGAATAACTCACTCCACAGTGCAGCCGCTCCCTTCATAACTTCCCTTGCCCCCCCAACAGTCGCAGTGAAACTTGATTCCGACTGAGATGAATCAAGGGGGCCAGCAGCGCCGTGCTTTCCAATTTCCGCGCTAGCGCGCACCTACCCACCATCGCAGCGCGATCTCAACTTCTTCGCGGGCAATCTGCTGCTGCCGCGTAAGATCCGCCGGTTGCCCTCTCTTCTTCCCGTCGCTCTCCCTTCCCGTCGCGCTCCCTTCCCGTCGCCCTCCCTTCCCGTCGCCCTCCCTTCCCCTCTGCCTCCCTTCCCGTCGCCTTCCCTTCCCGTCGCCTACCCTTCCCGTCGCCCGCGCTTCTGTTCCGTCGCCGTCCGTTCGTCTCGTCCCCCTCCCTTCCGCTCGTCCGCTGCTCTCCCCGTCAATTTCTCTCCCCGTCGCCCACGCGTTCCCTGTCAATTCACTCTCCGTCGCGCTCGCTTTCCCCGTCATTTCTCTCTCCGTCGCGCATGCTTTCCCCGTCGCCCTGCCATCCACTGCTCGTCGACCTCGCCTTCCCTCCCGCCTCCCTTCCCACCTCGCACACAAGTCACCCTACGTATTCTCCCCCTACTCCCTCTTATCCCTCCCGCTAATAATCGCCTTCCTTCCCCCCCCCTTCCCTTCTTCCCCATGTCCCCTTCCCTTCTTCCCCATGTCCCCTTCCCTTCTTCCCCATGTCCCCTTCCCTTCTTCCCCATGTCCCCTTCCCTTCTTCCCCATGTCCCCTTCCCTTCTTCCCCATGTCCCCTTCCCTTCTTCCCCATGTCCCCTTCCCTTCTTCCCCATGTCCCCTTCCCTTCTTCCCCATGTCCCCTTCCCTTCTTCCCCATGTCCCCTTCCCTTCTTCCCCATGTCCCCTTCCCTTCTTCCCCATGTCCCCTTCCCTTCTTCCCCATGTCCCCTTCCCTTCTTCCCCATGTCCCCTTCCCTTCTTCCCCATGTCCCCTTCCCTTCTTCCCCATGTCCCCTTCCCTTCTTCCCCATGTCCCCTTCCCTTCTTCCCCATGTCCCCTTCCCTTCTTCCCCATGTCCCCTTCCCTTCTTCCCCATGTCCCCTTCCCTTCTTCCCCATGTCCCCTTCCCTTCTTCCCCATGTCCCCTTCCCTGCATCCCTGCAGGGTCTCCTCGCCCGCCGCCCCACTTTGCTCAACCCCGACATTTCACGCGCCCTTATGTCCCCCTCCCGCCACAGTCCATTCAGGCCAATGCACTCCCCCCACCTCCTTCTATCTGCATCCCCTCACATCCCCCTCCCCATCCCCCTCCCCACCACCAGGCGCGCGCCCTGCTAGCATGCCATCGGTCGCCGCGCTATCACGTGGCACCTCTGTGGCGCGCACATCGCCCCAATTTCGCACGCTACTACACACATCACCGTCAGCTTTTATCCATTGATGGTGGGTGCGTGGATGGGTGGATGCGTGGGTGGGTGGGTGGGTGGGTGGGTGGGTGGGTGGGTGGGTGGGTGGGTGCGTGGGTGGCTGCATGTCCACGTGCATGCTCTGCTTTGTGCATGCATGTCTATGTGCATGCATATCTATGTGCATGCATGTCTATGTGCATGCATGTCTATGCGCATGCATGTCTATGTGCACGCATGTTGATGAGTGTGCTGGCCTATGCCCACTCTTGTCCATGTGCATGCTTTTCCATGTGCCTGCTTGTTTGCTTCATCTCACTGCCTTGCTTTCTCCCACTGCCATGCTTGCTCTCACTGCCATGCTTGCTCTCACTGCCATGCTTGCTCTCACTGCCATACTTGCTATCACTGCCTTGCTTGCTCTCACTGCCATGCTTGCTCTCACTGCCATGCTTGCTCTCACTGCCATACTTGCTATCACTGCCATGCTTGCTCTCACTGCCATGCTTGCTATCACTGCCATGCTTGCTCTCACTGCCATGCTTGCTCTCACTGCCATACTTGCTATCACTGCCATGCTTGCTCTCACTGCCATGCTTGCTATCACTGCCATGCTTGCTCTCACTGCCATGCTTGCTCTCACTGCCATGCCCGCCACCCCACTTTGCTCTCCCGTCTGCTGCCACTTCTGCCAGTGCGCTCCTCGCCCTTCCTGCTGCCCATTTATTCCCGCCCCGCTACTTCCCCTCACCCCGCTGCGTTCAGGACAGAGTCTATTCCCCCTCTGCTTCCCCCCTTCCCCTCCACAGTCTAGTGCACATGGTGGGAGCATGACAGGGTAACAGCACCTGCACACCGTCACAGCACCTGCACCCTAAAACCCGACTTCCCCTTCCCCTCTCCCTTCACCACTTTCCTCGCTGTCTCCACACGCCCCCCTCAGTCCACGCACAGATCATGCTGCTGATGCCAGCACAGGCAGCCCCATGCCCAAGGACGTTCACCCCATCTCGCACTGGCTGCTCAATGAACCCTGCAGCACCGCCCTGCTACTCGAGCGGACCACAGGCAATACAGTGCAGCATGTGTTAAATCCATTCACAACTGCATGGTGTCCACGTTTCCCCTATGTTTACAGCCTCACGAGCGGCGGGAACCGAACGTGACAACCCCTCCTTGCTCCCTCTCTCCCCGCCTGCCTTCCTCCCCCTCCTGCATCCTTCGTTCCCACCCGCCTCCCTCCCTGCCCGCCTGCCTCTTTCTCTCCCCACCTGCCTCTTTCTCTACCCACCTGCCTCTTTCTCTCCCCACCTGCCTCTTTCTCTCCCCACCTGCCTCTTTCTCTCCCCACCTGCCTCTTTCTCTCCCCACCTGCCTCTTTCTCTCCCCACCTGCCTCTTTCTCTCCTCCTCTGCCTTTGCATTGTATGCATAGAACAGGCTAGGAGCAGAGATAGATTAGGCGTCTATCGTGTGTTCTAATGGTCGAGTGATTTCGGCTGCTGCAGCAGAAAGTGATGACAGTATGGCCCAAAGGTTGCAATTTGGCAGTGGTAGTGCGCCGGGGTTTGTCCAAGCTGCTCTCGCAATTCGCGTTGCGAAATTCCGTTTTTTTTCGTGCGTTTGTTTCGAGAACCAAACCCTTCGCTTTTGTTCCGAACCTTTCATGGGCTGCGCCGAGCCTAGTTTTGCTCTAGTTGACCAGTGTTGAGTAATTCGGGCTTTGGCCTTTAAGGCAAAATGGATCTGCCCTGATTGGTGAATATTGGCGCGAAATGAAGCGGAATCTTGAGTTCGTCACCAGCAGTGGACCAAGTTACCATCAGGATTGAGACACGACTTGTAATGAATATACAATTCATTACTGAGTCTGCTCCTAGCGAGGACTGCCCAGAGCACTTAGCATCAGTTTCAGGTTCGGCCTACATTTCGGTCCGAACCACTACCGAGTCGCCCCGCACCAATCGCGACACATCCAACCCTCGCACGTTACGAGGTTCTCACCTAGCACGTATTCGCCATATAAATGCTTGCCTTGTTCATTCAATCGTCATTCTGTAATTCATCCGTTATAAAGTCTTTCGCGCACTCTGTTTAGTACAACTCATAACACTTGGTATCATAGCTAGTTTCCTAGCTCACCCCGCTTTGTAGAATGTATGACCCATCGGGGAGGGGGGAGAGTACAGGGAAGGATGCCGTGGTGACAGGAGCAGCGCAGTAGTCGGCCAGGAGAACGGGTAGATGCTCCTAGCGGCCATGAATTTCAAAGGCGCTTCTGCGGCACCGACGAATCCTAAACCTCGACGGTCGAGATGGACCGTGACCTCCCTCCCCCCGGGTGGCGGACAGCTTTGGCTGTTGTCGCATTTAATGCGGGAGTTAAGAGTGCTAGTTGTCGTAATTTTCGGAATTGATTCTGTGTAGCGGCTGACGTTGGCAGGATCGTCGTCGGCGCAACGTCAGAAATTGGCGGTTTGTGGTGCGAGTTGACATCGGGGAGAGGGGGGGGGGGGGGGGGGGGGGGAGGGGGGAGAGTACAGGGAAGGATGCCGTGGTGACAGGAGCAGCGCAGTAGTCGGCGAGGAGAACGGGTAGATGCTCCTAGCGGCCATGAATTTCAAAGGCGCTTCTGCGGCACCGACGAATCCTAAACCTCGACGGTCGAGATGGACCGCGACCTCCCTCCCCCCGGGTGGCGGACAGCTTTGGCTGTTGTCGCATTTAATGCGGGAGTTAACAGTGCTAGTTGTCGTAATTTTCGGAATTGATTCTGTGTAGCGGCTGACGTTGGCAGGATCGTCGTCGGCGCAACGTCACAAATTGGCGGAACGTGGTCCGAGTTGACGTTCTTCACGTGGTCGTCAACTACGCGCGAATAAATCGGAACTGCTTCGTGCGGCAAGTGGTGTCGGGCGTATTCGCCCTGTTGCGCACGAGCTTTTGGACGTCTTCGGCAAGTGACATGCGGCGTCACAGTGCGCGAAGTTTTCGGGTAGCAGCAAGTGGAAAACGACTGCTGGTTGAGCAAGCCAGTGTCAAACTTATATGCTGCATGTTGTGTAGGCTGTAGTGGGGTAGCCCATATGGGGTACAACCCAATCAGGGTTTACTACTTGTACTCATGCATGCTGCTAGTTCACACATTCTCGTTCGTACTTCTGACATGTTTTCAGAGCAGGTCCTAGCCTAGGACAGTTTTTTTAGGGCCCACCGAGTAGCGTTACCCCACTCGTCACGCCGCCGTGTTAGCGCCGCACTGCCTTGCCCTGCCCTGCGTCGCGCTGCCTGCGCACGCCCTGCCCTGCCCTGCCCGCGCGCCGCACCGTGCCGCCTTTCCCGCACGTCGCCCGCCACAGCGCGGCCTGCCCTGCCCGCGCGCCGCCCGCTGCAGCGCGCCCTGCCCTGCCCGCGCGCCGCCCGTCGCTGCGCGCCCTGCCCTGCCCGCGCGCAGCCCGCCGCCGCGCGCCCTGCCCTGCCCGCGCGCCGCCCGCCGCCGCGTGCCCTGCCCTACCCGCGCGCCGCTCGCCGCCGCGTGCTCTTGTGAGAGTACGACGGCTTATGCCAGCTATGCTTGCTTGCCTTTACTTTATTATGCTATTTCTAGCATAGGAGAATTATATGCATGCATGAATTGCTTGATTTCCTAGGCTAGGTGATTTCCTATATTTTATTATAGTTATAGCACCGAGCTAGGTTGCGTGCACCGAATTCTGGCTCTTCGGTTGCCACCGAATTGCCTTCTACCGAATTCGGGAAGGATCTGTTCGGGACGCTTCGCGACCCGCGGAACCTTCGCGTAACACCTGGTTACGGGGCCTTGTGTCGAGCATATTTATAGCCTCGTGTTGTACCCAGGTGATCATTAAATTCACATTCTCTTTTCTGAGCTCGATCCTAGATCCTCACAGCGCTTGACTTTGCGGTCAAAGGCGGTCTGTGCCTGTTTAACCCACGCCATGAGGACCTCTGGAACCGCAGCCTTAGTGTGGAGGAGGTGAACAGAGACGTAGCGAGAGTGGTCATCGACGATAACAAGGAAGTAGCGATAACCACCTCGTGCGGGAACAGGGGCAGGGCCCTAGGAGCTACATGAGTGGTTTGCTTAGCGTGGGGCGCCTGGGGGTAGTGGTCCCTGCCCGTATGTCATTCGCACAGGTGATCGCTCTGGTCAGACATGCGGGAAGCTCCACACCCAGTACCGCTGCTTCTCTTGTCTTACCGACGCCTTCCGCACAGAGTTTCCTGACGCGGCTGAGCTCCCCCGCTGGGCAGAGCTGCTTAGGCAGGGTGTGGACATCTTTGCTCTTGATTATGATGCTATCCTTTCTGCCATGTATACATTGACTGTTAGTGCTGAGGGTGACTGTTTTGTTTGTATGCTGCCGGACCCAGGTATAGAGGCTGCTGCTCTAGGTGCTAGTGAGTCTGCTGCTCTAGGTGCTGGTGAGTCTGCTCTCTCTGGTAATGCGTCTGCTGCGGCCTTGCACACGTTCATGCTTGACTCAGGTGCTTCACGCTGTTTCTTTCGCGAAAGTACCACATTCACACCGCTCTCTGCACCTGTTGCTGTCTCTCTGGCTGACCCCTCTGAGCGCCCAGTCCTTCCACGTTCCTCCACTATTCTGCCGTGTCCGGCGGTTCCGTCTGGCTCACTGTCAGGTCTCCACCTCCCCTCGTTCTCTATGAACTTGGTGAGCAACGCTGTCCTTCAGGATGAGTGGGTTGATACCTTCACCCCTGGAGGACAGCGTGTGGCGCCTTGTACGTGCTCCAGGATTGGCAGGCACCTGGCCACGTTCACCCGTCGGCCTGGGTCGAGTCTGTACACACTGACTACTACGCCTCCTCTGGTAGCTGCGTCTACGTCTACGTCAGGTCAGCTTGCGCCCCCCTGCTCGTTTGGCACCACCGCCTTGGTCACCCCTCCGTGGCACGCCTCCGTGGCATGCACTCCCATCTCCTTGTCTCTGATCTTCCCAGGTCTCTGCCTCCCCTCCCACCCTCACCTGCGCCTCCCTATCTTCCCTGTGTCGAGGGGCGGCGGCGCGCCGCTCCTCACTCCTCCTCGTTCCCATCGACGACTGCTCCCCTGCAGACTCTCCACATGGACGTGTGGGGCCTAGCCCGCGTCCGTGGACAGGGCCGCGAGCGGTACTTTCTGCTGGTTGTCGACAACTACACGCGTTACACCACGGTCTTCTCCTTGCGCAGCAAGGGGGAGGTCCCTGACCTCATGATGTTCATCTCCAGCTCCGCGAGCGGTTCGAGACGGACCTTCCCGTCCTGCGTCTGCACTCTGACAGAGGTGGTGAGTTTTCCTCCGACCTCTTGCGGGAATTTTGTCGTGGGGAGGGCATTCGCCAGACTTCATGCTTCCGGCCTCTCCGCAGCAGAATGGGATTGTTGAGCGCCGCATTGGCTTAGTCATGGAGGTCGCTCGTACCTCCGTGATCCATGCGGCTGCCCCCCATTTTCTGTGGCCGTTTGCGGTCCGGTACGCTGCGCATCAGCTCAACCTCTGGCCCCGTGTCTCCTTGCCGCAGACCTCGCCGACACTGCGTTGGATGGGAGAGGTTGGCGATGCGTTGGTGTTCTGGGTCTGGGGATGTCGTGCTTTTGTCCGCGATACTTCCGCAGACAAGCTCTCCTCCCGCGCCGTTCCCTGTGTCTTCCTCGGCTTTCCCCTTGACGAGCCTGGCTGGCAGTTTTACCACCCCACCTCGTGCCGTGTCCTGCCCTCTCAGGACGTCATGTTTGACAAGTTGGTTCCCTTTTACCGTCTCTTCCCCTACCGCACTGCCCCTCTCCCGCCTCCGCCGCTCTTCCTCGCACCATGTCCTCCTCCGGTAGACGCCGTCCCCCCTCAAAGTCCTGCTCCCTCAAGGGTGTCCCAGGTAGACCCTGTCGAGCCTGTCGAGGTACACTGAACGAAAATATTGTCCTTATGCATTCGAAATGTATGATAACTTCCACCCAATTGGGGCCTTAACAAGTTTTGTAATAAGCATATTGCATACAGGGTTTAGGTTTGACTGTTACGAGTTTGTGTAGGCTACCTATAGTCCCCACAAAACCTCTTGCTCTAACGAGTCAGCTCTTCCCTCTCGACACCCCACACGGACAAATCTTTCCGAAATGTCCCGCTCCTTATTTGGTGCGCTGTTAGATCTAGAGTAATTAGGTACACAGGAGATTACGGGCGGATACTACGATTTATGAGTAGCGCTAACACCCCCGCAGCATGAAGCGCCTTAGCGAGGAGAAACAGAAGCGGATCATGTAGCGAATTGCGGAGGGGCGTAGTTACCGCCAAATCGCGCAGGAGTTGGGAGTTTCAAAGTCTGCAGTTCATGACGAGCTCCTCCGCCACCTCGGTCCGAAAACGTTCGACGAGCTAGTGCCGTCCCCGGTGAAACCTGGTCGGCCGCGCAA